AACTTTTTTTTTGACGCGAAAAGATTCGGGGTAGCAAATTCCATCGTCGTATTCGTTACATTTTAATTTCTTTTATACCATAATGATTGTAAGAATATTTGGCCGTAATATTCCATACAAAGTTTTTTTGAGATATTTGATCAAAATTATATTTATAAAATAACTGCTCTAAATCTCGCAATCTGATTGGTTGGGAGCGCGTGCTTTACGAGAGTACGCAGCACGCGCGTGTACTTTCAGTTTCGTCATTCACGTAATTTGCCTCTTATAAAAGAACTAAAAAACTTGCTTGTTGTTCTAAGTGGAGTTATAAAGCACTCGGGGATTGACAGAACACTCGAGAAGTGTCGAGAACACTCCTAACACTTCTCTCGTGTTCTGCACACAGCACGCACGCGCGTTTTTCTATTTTCTTCAATATTAAATCTTATAACAGTTGTGCTTCATAATTCAAATCGTAATCCAATAAATTTATATTTTTATATTTTCAAATCGTGCAATTTTTTTAAGTGCATTTTTTCCAATTCAGATCGCAATGTCATGGCCGAGTTTCATAACGTGGGAGGACTGGGTCGAAACTGGACAATCGTGTGAACGATGCCATGAATATCGGTCCGCAAAACTGGGCTGCATTTGTAGAGCTACAGATATTAAAAATGCTCATCCAGGCAGCCTAGTCAACAGCATATCTCCACAGTCCTTTCACTCGATATGAAACCCGGCGTTGATAATTATCTGTGAACAAAGACGTGATACTCAAGAGAATGACACGTAGTCTGGAATGGAATAATCTAATACGAATTTAGCTCACACGGTCTGTAAACGCGAAGCTTGTCGCACAACTATCCTTAGTTTAAGTCTAGCTGACCGATTTGCTGCGGCCGGTCCAGAGATAGGAATGTTTTGGGTGATTATTTATTTCATTATTATTATTATTATTATTATTTTTTTTTTTTTTTTTTTTTTTTATTGAAATAAACCGCCCGTAGGTCAATTACCCCGACCTGGCCTATGATAAAGTGAATATCGAGAATAAAACATCAACAAGCTGAAACTGAGCCTACTTGAAAGTTTATAATCTAAACAACTGACTATTGACAGAATTGTCATATTGATAAACTTTAAGGTGTCTAAACCACAACGACACACGACACGAAGTATAGCCTGTAACACTACAGTTGCTAGACATTGCCAAAATTAGATATTTAATTTCATTCAGAAAGATAGCAAAATTAAATATATTTTTTCCACAAATTTTCATAGATAAATTCCTTGGTTTCTAAAGCTGTCTTTTTTCTTGAGTAGGAAACTTAATTAGCGCTGACAACCTTGTACAAACGGACAAGTTTTGTTTATTTTAATATGTTCAATCTAATGAGAAGTATTTTCCACTTTTGATATAGGCAACCCTCTCTTTATGATTGGATTTGTTTCACATATTTTTCAATTCCCATCTTTTAATTTAAGTAATAGTAAATAATTCCTTTTCTGCTTCAATGTCGTTTTAGTTTAGATCTTCAAATTTCAAATGATCCCTTGGTTGCTAATTAAGATGACAGGTTTTATGCTATTTCTTGTAAATCGTTTAATTCTGTAAACAAACAAAATAGATGTTAACAGTGAATAATCACGTTCTATCAAAATCAAAGCAATTCGCTTGGTAATGGAAGGTGTTCTCAGTGAAGCAATGATAAAATATCTAGCGAAATTCCCAGAGTATTACCAAGGCATTAATGCAGAGCTTTTACAGCGAGTTTATCAAGAGTTGCGACCACTCAACCAAATAAGTTTGCAACAAACACAAGCTTCAATGCGAACTGTGTGTTTCTGTGACTTGTGTCTGGAAGACGAAGTCCTTGATGTACTCAAAGAAATGGATCGGAGAGGTTTCCTCATGAATGACATTCGATGGGAGTTCGCCATGTTGTGTAGTACTGGTTCGAATGTCATAACAGAACAACAAAGTGAGTTCTTGTTTCGTTGTTTTCTTGGAGAAGAAGCCGCCAGAAAATGGGAACAGTTCTTGAACAGCCGGGCGACAAAAGGTTCACCGGTTAGTTTAGCTGAAATAGAGCTTATCTTGTGTTCTACGCCGAATAGTTTTGGGAATGAAATTGGCGGGAATGAAAGAACTTAATCACAGCAAGCTAGTAAGCGTGCTCCTCTTAAACGGTGTGCAAAGATAAGGATTCTTACTAAAGTACTGATACAAAATGCCACGAGAAAACAACGACTACAGCCATGCTTAGCTTAGTTTTAATAGTATAGAAGGACTTTTTGGTACCTTACAATTTTGTATCATGATTCCGAAAGAAATTTCAATAAAAGATTTGTTGCATTCATCTATTAATTCACATTCTTTACGAGCACCAATTTCCAACTTCCAACTAAGATGAGTTATGGAGAGAATAGAGCGGTATAAGTGGGAAACGAAACGATAAACGCACGTCAAATTCACTATTACAACTGCATCGCCCCTAACCGTAACCATATCTACACGCAGTGTGTGACTGGACGAATTACTGGAAAACAGTGGAAAGCCAATTTAATGTTACAGCATGTCTTGTCCTATATGTATCTATATATTTCCCTCTTAATTGAATACGAAAATCGCTCTAAAGACTGTATGCTTAGCGACACAAGAACTAGAAACTTATCATTTGATTTGGGGCTTTAATACATACTATTAGAGATATTACCGATTAGAGATATTATCTATTAGAGATTTTATCTATTGGAGATATCATCTATTGGAGATATCATCTATTGGAGATATCATCTATTGGAGATATCATCTATTGGAGATATCATCTATTGGAGATATCATCTATTAGAGGTTTATCTATTAGAGATATTATCTATTAGAGATATCTATTAGATATGTTATCTATTAGAGATATTATTTATTAGAGATATTATCTATTAGAGATATTATCTATTAGAGATATTAGCATGAACTGAGAAGTTATCACACTGTATGGTACAAAGATATACATGAATGTTCTCACTAATGGCTCAGACTATCATCGATCTCCAAAGCTCAACAGTATAAAATTGGGTCAGTCATCGTTCCCAGTCCCCGCCTAGTTTTCAGGTCCGTCGCTGTGAGTCGCTCCATAATTAATAAAACGGCAATTTTTCTAGTGTGCATCAATATAAATACTTCTTTTATCTTCTTGTTGAACGGCAAAAAATACATTCTTTGACTGTAGTCCACCATCATATTTTGTTTCGTTTTTTTTTTTTG